CGCCGGGGAGCTTCCAAAGTTGTTGGTTTTCCTTTTTCATATACTCTGGGAAACTGCCAAACAAGACACCCATGCAGGACCCCCCCAACTATTGAAAACTCAAGTAGCCTCTCGGCTCTTTTGCGGGACAATTTGACTGTCCTTCCTGAATGTTTTGGAATGCTTGGTCAGGGTTTCCTCCATCTCCCTCTTGAACCTCCAAAAGTGGCAGTTTGAAGGGGCATTGATCAACCTGTGAAGGGGATATCTGTTGGCTTTCTGGTCAGGGTTTCCTCCAATTCCCTTTTTGGAACCTCCAAAAGTGGCAGTTTGAAGGGGAGTGCTTCCCCTTTTTGGTTTTCTTTCCAGCGGGGCTCCATTGCGTTTCCGTGTCCAACCTTTGGGCGCCAGCCACCAGCCCCTTTCGCGTGAGGCGTTGCAGTCGGCGCTGTCGGAGAGCGAGGAAGATCCAGCCATCCACATCCGCCTAGGCGAGTGCTCGTCCGCGTGCTCGCGGGTGCATTTTCGTGGTGTCGTTTGGTGGCCTTTCTGTTCTCCAAGGTACCCTCCCACCAATGAACAGAAGGAACCTGACGTTCGGGTATCCCTGGAAAAGGACAAATGGGCCCAACTAGGACCCATGTGAATTGGTGGGAGGGTAAACGAAAAGAAGCCAAGCATGATGGTGGAAGCTGCGAAGCGATGCGTACTCCCCTGCAAATTAGCTTGACATTCCCCTTAAAAACGGGCGCCAAAGCAGTTGACATTGAAGCACCCAAAAACACCCTAATTCAGCCATTGGGATCCAAGACGTGTCGGGATCCGGCCCGAAAAACCTGTTCAGCACCAAACAAGGCCCAACAAGCACCTGGCCAGAATCAGTGGGCGCGGGGGGAGTTGCTGCCGGGGTTTGTGAGCAGTAGCAGATTCACACATACAAGGCTCAGCGGGGTGTCTTGACTAAATGATGGTCAATGTCTTGGGTAGATTGATGGCCATCTCGTGATGGACCCGCGCCACCATTTGCCGTTCCCTTGAACCGACCATGTGGACTTGCAATCGGTGGCCAACGTTTCCCTTGGGCCACTCACGCTTGACAACTGGGTTTTAGGGCAAACGTCGGTCCCGAGGGAATTTCCTTTTTGTGTGAGAAAGTCGGGATGGGACCCCCTCGACGTTTCACAGGCCTTTTTTCCGCACCCAAGTGGGTACCATGATCATCCTTTCGGCGCACGACATCTAGGTGCTGATTTGGGATCCCTTGCTGCGGGAGTTGGGTGCCCTTTTTTAGTTGGTAAAGAAGCCAAATGGAATCCCCCCATTTTGAGACGCCCCCATTTGGAAATCTTGTTGTGTGAATACTAGTCATGGAATGGTCACTTAGACAAACCCCTTGGTTTGTTGAAATTTAGAGAATCCCGTGTCCCTCCCAAATGGACCATAGACAAAACAGGAAAGTCTGACCGAACCTCAACTGGGCATCTAAATTTGGGCGACCTCAGTGCTCATTTTTGGTTCCGTTGAACATCACCCTGAGAAGGGCACCCTGAACAAAGCACAACCAATATGGGTGTTTCGTGAGACAGGCGATCCAACATACTTAGTCTCATGTCGGTGTCCATTTTTCAAATGAGTCCAAAAGGGGTATCCTCAAACAATGAGCCACCCTCATATGGGTGAGTACTCTTTCAGGGGTCCGCTTGTGTTGAAGGGCGGCCAAGAGGAGGCCGGTCTATTGTGAGACGCCCAGTATGGGTTTGTCTCTTTTAGGGGACCTTCAAGGGGACCCCGAAGATGGTTTTCCTTTGGTTCCCTTTAAAGCCACGAGAAAGGGGGCAGGGGGTGCCCTCCAAAAAAAGACAGGCCCATATACTGTTCTTGTAGCTCCCCTGCGAACCAGATGTCACCTTCTATTTCCTCGCCGGTGGGCCAGGCTCTGTACTGCTGGTGAAGAAGCGCTGGAATCAGGAGCAGCTGGAGGGCTCGAGCGACCAAAACCAATTCCCATTGGGACCATTTTAGTAGGTGATGGGCTGCTAAAAAGATGGGCAGTTCCTTTCTGGACCGTGCTGGGCTACCACAGGCCCCAATCTTGCGAACCTGCAGGTGCCTCTACTTGCTAGTTTCATTTGGGTTGTAGTAAGGACTATGCAAACCATTGTATCCATCTTAGCAGAGTTCGGGTCTTGGGCGCTGTATCAACCGAATCTCACGTGTTGCCATCTTTTGCTTTTCAGGACTTTGCTTTGGTGAATTGGTTGACCCGGTGGTTTGTCCAAATGATGGACTTGATATTGAGCAGAACTCAGCGGGTAAATCTGTAACCTTTTGAGCACGCGCATCGGTGGCTTGGGTTTGGTGACACTTCCCAGCGGCAGGAATAAGGCAGCCTGATTCCTCATGGAACCACTGATTTCCTACCGGGCATATGGATCAGAATTTCACCCTTTCCAAGGGTCTCCCCGCCAGCATGTTTTGCCAGTGCCTTCTTTTGGTTGGTAAAGGGAAGCTCAAAAGGACACGAACCATTTAAGGTGACCGATTCCTGTTCTGATGTGGCTCAAAATTCAAACAACTGGGGGTACGCAGGTCTTGGTCCATGTTTCCACTTGCCAGGGCAACCCATTTTGGGTAACGAGCCGTTTGAGCCACAGCTATCTGGCAGAACCACCCCCCCCCCCCGCAGGCGCGGGATTCCTTCTTGCGCTCGATTCAGATCAAGCCCACTGCAGAGGTCCGGCGTTCGTTTCGAGTTTTTGAGGGTCCCATGCGCCAAGCATGTCCCCAAATGGGCCATTTTGGAGGTGCTTTTACTGCCTGGTTGAAGGTTTATGATAGGCCTATATAAACCGTGATAACCATCTTGGAACCGGAAGACAAAACGGGGTGTTGGGCGTTAACATGGTGTGACCCCTTGTGGGGGCTAAAGTTGCAACACGCGAAACAAACAAGAAGATGTAGCCCATGTCTTACATCGCCGAACTCGAATCATATGGCAATGGTTTCCTGCGAGACAGGCTCATGGAAGCCATGGTGTTTACCGTCCAAACTTCCCATTCCGTTTATCCTTCCAAAAATCCCCGCAGAATGGCATCAGACCCAACCTTGAGACACACTTTGCACTCCAGGGCTCCTAAGTTTTGCTGAGTTCTTGGGGTGTTCACTCTCCATCCCCTTGTGAAGGAGGCATGGGGCTCTTTTCGGAAAGCTTTTCCAGGAAGCCGGAAGACCCCTCTTTGGGGGCTGCCTGTTTTCAGAGAATTGCCTCTTTGCGCCTTCGGGGGGTGGCCTTTTTGGGGGAAACCGAAGGGCATCCGAACCCATCTTCTCCCAGGTCTTACTTGGGGAATCCTTATTTCCCGCTTTGTGAACAGTAATTTGGCCAGATCCGTTTCGTGGTGCCCCGAAGTAGTCTTTCTTCTTTGCGTTTCCCAGGTGATTCCCCCCCAAGAAAAAAGCATACGTTTGAGTCCCCCCAAACAAAAACTTAGTTGCTCCCTCTCCTCCCCCCGGAAAAAAATAAAAGAAAAATACAGCTGAGTCACCCCCCCCCCCCCAAACACTTCCAAAAAATACCAGGGTGCAGTGAGTCCCCCCAAAAAGCAAAACGCCGGTCCGCGTGCCTCTCCCGACGCCTCTCAACCCGAAGCTTCACCTCTCCAACCCGCCGCGGACGCCGCTCCGGCCGACGCGTCGTCGACCGTGGCGCTGGGAAGGCCTGGAGCGGCGTGGCCTACTCGGAGTTCAAGTCCGAGGCGCTGCGGCCCTGCTACGAGGCGCGCGGATGGGCGGGGGTGGGGGTGGGGGGGGGGGGGCGGGGCCTCCGGGCTTCGGGTTTTGGACCTTTCTTCGTTTTGGGGGGAGATGCAAACTCTGATTTCCATTGATTTTTTTGGGGGGGAAAGGGTCTCGCTTTTGTTGGAGACGTATTTTCTGTCATCCTAGAAAAAACACATACTATATAGAAGGATAGAATCGGCAGACGGTCTTCTTTGGTAGCACAGAAACAGTCATTTCCCACAAACCATGCCATAACTGCAAATCAAACTTCAACAAAGAAGCACCCTCGTTGAAAAGTGTATCGAACAACACTCCGCATGAAAAATGAGGAGTCGCCTTTGGCTCCTTCTCAAAAATGCAGGCGAGCTAGAGCCCGGAGCGGTCCGATCCGAGTCGCAGGCCCTCTGCGAGGCCAACCTGCTGGACAACGAGCGCTGCGATGTCTGGGCGCTGCTGTGCCTGGTGCGATGGGGCCGGGCGAACGGGGGCGCGAGGGGCTATGGGACCCAGTGGCAACAGGGGCCGGTCCATTTTTACAGGGAACCACCTTCACAGAGTCATGAATCGCCACCTAAATGGTGTCCACCAAAGGATCTCCAATGAGATTCATGCCCATATTTCTGCCAGGATGGCTTGAAACATTCTTTGTGGACAAGTTGAAGAGTTTCCGTGAGGGGTGATACCCGAAAAGCCCGGTGTTTCAGGGTGCCCACACCCCCTTGTCACCCAAAATCAAATGACAAAATGGGGCGGTCTCAACATGTAGGAGCCTTCAAAATGGGTGATTTTCCTGGAGTTCCCCTCACCATCCTCAAAAGTGAGGTACACCTAAAAAACAGAGCGTGTGATCTAGCTCTACAATCCCAGGACCATCCTGCGACCCTGCCGTTTGCGTTGGTTGCGCTCACAAATCAAAATGCGAAGTGGAGCTACCTACGGAAGGCACACGGACCTTTTGATCTCAACACGCCATGTGCCTTTGGCTCAGACCAGTCGGCCTCCAAAACGAGGCCAAAGCGTTCATGTGCACACTGCAGGAGCCATCACATGCCCCAGTGCTGGACAAGAAAAGCCACTCCAGATACCCAAACAGAAAGAGCCAGCGAGAAAACCACCGCACATGCATGTCCCGGGGAAAAAGAAGAAAAACACACACACAACATGGACATGCCGGCAAAAAGGATCCAAGAAGGCGGAGAGATGCATTCACTGCAAATGTTTGTTAGGCTCAAAGTCGTTGACAGCAGGGCGGTTGCAATTTTATTGCCGGCGCCATGGGCTGTTGCGGGTCCACGGACAAGGACACCGCGGAGCGGCCGAAGCCTCGATGCTGACCCGGGTCGAAGTGGAACCGCTTCTATGAGGGGGATGGGGTGGGGGCGGCCGCCACAGGAAACCACCGGCCACCACCCGAAACCAGAAAAAAACCACCGGAAACCACCCGGAATTGCAAGAAAACCATTGGGAATCCACCGGCAACCACAGGAAACCATAGGAAATGTTTCTTATTCTTGTGAGATCCTCGCCCATCGAGGCTGGCGGCGGTGGAACAGGAGATCAAGGCCAGTCGCACTCCGGAAGTTGAGGATGCGGCACGCTTCGCCAAAGCGCCTTGGAAGCTCTTTGGGTGTGTATTTGTTTAAAATATTACTATCATAATGATTAGTTGTCTTTTTTTTCCTTATTTATTTTGTTTTCATTTCCCTTTCGTTGGTGTCTGGGTGAAAGTCCCCTTTTCACTATGTTTTAGGGAAAAGCAAAGGACACCAGCCACCTTTGGCGGTCACCTATCTTGCTCAATCTTCAACTTTCTCAACTTTCTGGGAAACAGAGTGGCTTCCCACTAGTTATCGCCATCGGTGCCTCCTGAGATGCCTTTCAAAAGTTGGTTCACTCAGGAGCTGCGGGTCGTGTTCGACACGGTGGCGGAGAAGGGGGGAGACATGAGAGCCTCCTTAAGAAAGCCCAGACGGGCCCCAGCGAGTTGCTCCCGGTTTTCAATTTTTGAGGCCGTGGGCCTCTTTCAAGTCAACAAAAAAGGATGCCCCTTCTTTTCTCACGGCCACCAATCTGGGTTGTAATTGAGAATTCCTCCTTTCCAGTTGGTGAGTTGCAGTAGTTTCTTTGCCCCGAAGGCGCCATCAAGAGGCGCCAAATAGGCTGCCCAGGGACCTGGAAGGAAGCCAAGCGCCTTGTTTGAGGGACCACCCCTTCTGGATCTATGGCTCAACATCTTCAGAGCCTGATCTTGGAGGTCATACAACCGATACAACCCACAAAATACAAGGTTTGCAAACCGTTTCGTTGGGCGCTGAGCTGATTGCTTTGCTCATCGCCGGTTGCTCACGGTTGTAGACAACTTGGTTTTAGGCTGCCAGCTGTTTTTTCAGCATCCAAAGGAACCCCTCAAAGGTTAGATGGCCCAGGAGAGGGGGGGGGAGTATCACAAGGGCTCTGTTGATTTTTCCACAACCACATGGTTGTGAAGGTTTCGCGAAATGGTGCTTCAACCCGCCTTTTGGCGAGTTGTTAAAGGGAAGCGAAAAGGGGGGGACCGATTCCCATTTTGAGACACCCCCGTGTGCAAGTAGTAAACTTTACTACTTGCGAGACACTCTGTCAACACCATGAGGTGTTACAGGCCTTTGACATGCCCAGCACATCGATCTCGAGACGCATGATTCTGAAGCTTCTTGATTGCTTGAAGCAGCAATGCGCTGCCGGATATAGCCAAAGCACCTTTTGTGACCTTCAAATTCCCTTTCAAAAAGCACATCCTGGTGCAGGGCGGCTGATGTTTTTTTTCCCCCCCCCCCCCAACAATTCCACCGTTGGACAAGATTCACACGCACACGGAGCATCATTTAGAACAGCAGGGGTGCCTTGCTTTGACTTGCCCAGGGCAGTCTTAACATGTGTGGTTGATTTCCCAAAGAGATCCCTTTGTTTAGCTCGACGGGCAATCAAACAAAGGCACTTTGAGCGCACATGCCGTTTGTTAAGAAATCGACAAGCGAGGGTTGTGTTCACACAGAAATCTTCCGGGCGCTAAAAACAAACTAGCTCAGAACACCCATGATGATGATGATGATGATGATGATGATGATGATGATGATGATGATGATGATGATGATGATGATGATGATGATGATCATGACGACAATGATCGATCAAAAGGTCCGAAATACACTGGATGACCATTGGGGAAAAGCCACTAAAACGATTTGATATTTACATGGGAAAGGTTGTCCTTGGTCAGTTGAGGGCCCTAAATGGAAGATTATACTTGGGGGCTCCCAGCCATCCCCTTAGCCTTTTAGACTTTTAGTGTTTAGTGCGAGTTTCCATTTGGCCCACTAAAAGTTAAACTTTTAGCAGGGATCTGAGGGCTGCCCAGTATTATTATAATATTGATCAACCCGCATGTATAGTCCTGCTGATGGCTGAGGAATGATTGCGAAGGTCGAGGACCTCAGCGATTCTGTGGTGCGGGGCCTCATCAACCGCATCGATCCACTGCCAGACTTAGCTCAGCTTTGCGCGCTTTGCCAACTTTTGCCTTGGTGGTTTTCCTTCTTGTTTTGTGCTTGAACAATTGCCTCCATTTAACTCTTACCCTTTTGGTTTTCCTTCCTCGTCCCCGTTTGAACAATTGGTTTGCCATCGTGTTCCGTTGGGCTCGAAGTCCCTTAGGATCTTCAATTGGTGCAGAAGGGGTCGGCGGAGTACCAGCCGATCGTCGATCGCATCATGGTGGTCGCCACTGACCTGGCCACTGGCCTCGAAGGTCGAAGGTCCAGCGGGTTCCGCCGCAAATCCACCCATTTTTCAGGGTATGAGGTCGACCCGGAGACCCTTTACAAAAAGAGGAGGTATTTACCATGGAAAAGCAGGTTTTGTCCGTCAATACCCTGAAACAAGGCGGGTGTTTGGAGTTCGACCCTTTACTAACAGAGGAGGTATTTGCTATGGAAAAGCAGGTTGCTTTCAACCTGCTTTTCCAAAAGACCATGTGAACAACTGGGTGGGGGTATGGAGCCCTAGCCTTGGGTTTTTCAGGGGATTCCTCACATGGGCTTGGATGTTTATCCCCACACAATCAAACGGATTTTCATCATTTCAATCTTCACTGTTCTTGGCAAGTGGTTTGTTTGTTGTTGGTTCCTTTTCATTTTTTGTAGGGGGCTGCAAAAAACAACCGTACCAAGGGTGGTGAAGCAACGGAATCTCAGGGAGCAACATTAGGCAAAGGAAGTGGCAGAGTTCCACATCGGCGAAGGAATTCGATGGATGCAGTTGAGTGTGTCGATCATTTAAGGCACCTTCTGTGATTGTGGAAAATAGAATCACATTCAAAGTGATCAAGTCATTGGAATGACTCGGAGTGACGCATGTTGGTATCACAGATAGGCTGTCCTTCCACAACCATGCTTTAAGTTGTTGGATAGATGAGAGCGCAGGAGCCCAAAAAAATCGTTCTTCACCCTGTTTCTTTTTTCCTAGTTCCCGTAAACTGGTTCAACATCTACGGACATCCTACTGGACGTGGGACTTATAGAGAGTCCCCGCGTTTTTTTTCTGGGGAGTTTGTTCCCGCGTCCGACCCAGGACGCTGTGCGGGCCACAAAAGCCACAAAGCTGGTGGACGCCCATTTGCAGCGCCTGGTGGAACAGCAGACGTCAGCACAGGAGAAGCAGGCGCCGAGTTCCAGTCTCCCTATTTTCTGGCGACCGATTTAGGGCTAGAACGATCTTTCCATTGTCCTTTCCTTGGAGATGTCCGACTTCAAGTGTTGGCCCCATGTCCCGTACAGATTTCAGACATGACAGGTTGTTCTTCTTGGATCGGAGAAGGCGTGCGATGGTGGTTGTTCTTTCTGCCTGGAGCAGCCCAAAAACATATTTCCCCATGGTGCCTGTTCCTTTAGTTTTCTGCCAGCGTTCCCTGCGAATCCTGTGTGGGTCTGTGTTTTCGTGTGTCTTCGAGGCTCGACCAGCCCCCGCAGCCCACTTTGAGGTCTCCCAAATGTAGATTTGGGTCATTGCGTTATGGCTGTTTGGTTGGATCTTTGGACTTTAACTTTTTTAGAAACAGGGGGAGTTTCCATTGGACCCGCAACAAGTTAAACTTTTTACAGAGGGGTCAATAGCAACCAAGATTGTGACTGATTCTTACGCCAAAGAAAAGTGAGAAACCGGGGCTTCCGTTTTACCAACCAGGGTTTGACTTTGATCATGGCAAAGTCATGGGGGCGGTTCGAGCAGGCCCCCCCATATTTCCATTGTTTGGTGGTTTAGGACACGTCACCTACGCGTTGAATGGTAGCTTCCTTTGGGGCGATGTTTGAATGACCCGTAGAGAAGCACCACAGGAGCAACCTGTGGCTGACAGGTGGACCCTTCGTCTTTTAGACCTTTAGTGTTCAGTGTTTGGGTTTCCATTTGACCCACGAAAAGCGAAACTTTTAGCAGGAGATCTGCGGGCCCTGTGGAAGACAGGTGGACCCTTTGCTGAAGAAGCTGCAAGCTGTGCGGGAGAAGGTCCGTGGTGACGCCAAGCTGCTGATCCCCGGCACCAAGGAGCCGAAGCTCGCCTCGATCGATCGGACCTGCGGGCCTGCCGGTACCATGGCTGGTGGTTGGGACACATGTTTTTGCATTTCTGCTTAATGTCCACCTGGGATTAGTAAACGGGAGTCCCATTATGGTGGTTTGGTGGTTGACATTTTCACTTAAATACAGAAACATATTTTTTGCTCCCCTTGCAACATCAACCAAGGTAAGAACTCAGTGCAAAGCGAATCGAGCGGATCTGACCTTGTGGTTTTCCTTAAGTTTGGTGCATAGTCAAAGGTCCCACAAGGTGAGCACCTATTTCCAGGTCCCTTGGGCAAGTGATACAATGGAGCACTTTACCTCAAGTGTCATTTTCGGCAGAATGAAATGATGGTGTAAGTTCATGGACCAGGAACATCTCGAGCACCTAGCTGCACATTTGTTCGTTGCAGCTTGGAGATGCTTGACAAACATGACTGTGAATTGGTTTGCAGAGGTTCCACTTCAGCATGGGATTCGAATCCCATGAAAGGGATTAGGTTGTCATGTGGACGGTGGAGGTGCAGTGTTGAGAAACACCTGCGACACACCTGAAACAAGGACCAACCAAGGTAGTCAGTTGCTAGGGTCCTTCTGTTTGCTCTTGGACCAGGATTCGCAGTCAACCTGTGACCATGTTGGAGCAACTCGTTGGTTTACCCTGGCCATGGTTATGAAACGGCCTGGGAAAGAGCGTGAACAGATACCCACTCCCACATCACGAGAACGGAGCGGGCCAGCGGCGTGGAAAGCGTGTCCATAAGATACAAATATAATTAGATTATGACTCAGACAAGCCTTTCCAGTCCTTGTTTTTCCCATCTCGACGACTTCTAGGTGTGGACGGCAAAGAAGGAATGGCATCTCTGTTTCTCCCTTCATCACCCTTTATTATTTGCTGACAGATGGAGGGTGATGATGAGGGAGAAAAGAGATGGCTCCGCCCGATTGGTTGATCCCGGCAAGCATGTGGGGGGTTCCTAAGAGTAGGCAGGAGGACCTACTTTCAACAAACATGGACGGAAGAGGATTAACCTTTTATCTGGGTTTCTGAAAATCTGTGAAGCCCGGCCCTGGTGGTGGAAACCTTCGAGTACAAACGCCCCCCCCCCCCATCCCTCCCCCCCCATCCCCCGCCCATCCCCCCCCCATCCCTCCCCCCCCATCCCCCCCCCATGCCCCCCCCACCCCTCCCACCCACCCCCCCCCCAGCGCCGCAGGAGATGCTGGACGTGGCGGAACAAGCCCACGCCGCCGCGCCGGAGGCAAAGCCGGTGGCAAAGGGCTTGCTCCTAGGCCCGCGAGCGGTGTGGGTTTGGTTTTTTTTATGCGAGGGATGGGTCTGTCGTTGTTTGATTGGGTGCCCCCATTGTTGGTGGGTTTTTGCAGGGAAACCGAGAGGAACCCCCATCCATGTTTTGTTGGGTTTTGAAGGGAAACCAAGCGGAACTTTTACATACTCATTTTTTTTGGGGGGTCCCCCAGCAAAAAGACAGAAATATGAGTTGTTGCTTAAAATGAGTGTGGCGAAGCGCTGAAACCCGAAGAAAACCGTGGACCGAGTCCTATTTGGAGAACCCCCCACATGGGTCGGTCTTTGTTGCAGGGTACCTTTGTTGGGCCGGTCTTTTTGGGGAAACCAAAAGGAGAACCGAAGCCATTTTGCAGGTCCCCCTATTCTGACACATACCCGTATGGGTGTTTCTCAAAATTTGGGGACCCCTAAAGATGTTCCTTTTGGTTTCCCTGCAAACCATCCAAAACGGTCCACATAACTACCATTCCCAGAAACTCGCATGGCTCAGTCTTTTTTGGAGGAGGGATGCCCAGTTGTTTTGAAGTTGTAAGACACACCCGTATACTGATTGATTGCAAATGCCCGGCTAATTCCCATGCAGACCAGCACGGAACTTCAAACCACCTTTTGGCGGGTCATTTTGAGGAAGTGACCTGAAGGGATCCATTAACGCCCAGGGGAATTGCGCCAGAGAGATACCTCTAAACCACCCAAAAGGGTACTCGGAACCAACAAACGAAAACGCTCGCCATATACGGGAGCCATAGGGGTCGAGTCTCATACCGCGTGACCGGTCCCCCTAATTTTTCGAATGGGAATTCAGGATAAAATAACCTTGAAGTTCGCCATTCGTCCCTTTCCTGCTGAAACATCACCCCACAAATAAAGCAAACCTGAGCTCGGCATCCAAAACACGGGAGTCTCGGGTCAAGCGGAAATGGTCGTGTCCAAAAAAAGGCAAATCGAATATGAAGCTGCTATTGTTTTTCGTTTTCCTCCTGCCACCATCCAAAGGGAGCTTTGCCGACGGAGAGAACTTCGTGGTTTGAGTGGATTTTGTCCATCCAGTGTAATCGACCTAGAGGGGTCCTCAACATGGGTATGGGTCAAAATAAAGGGTTCCATTTTGGGTACCAATTTTGACCCACACCCACATGAACACCTGGGATAACATTCCACCAACTTCGGGTTTCGCCAAAGCGAGGCTCGAGCAGCTGGTCCCGCACTCCGTGTTTGTTTTGGCGCCTCGGCGAAACGGCAGGGGATCCCTTGCCGTGGGATCCATGGGCGGAACAACCAACAAATCGCTGGTTTTAGCTTTCAACTCGGGGGTCAGAAAGGTGATCTAGACTTGATCCTTTTTGGGCTGTGGCTTGCTCAAGCCTCTGGGGTGAGGGGATCCTGTTTTTGGACAAAGTAGTCATGATGGGAAGCTTCGCCCTGATATCGCAAGTAATTTGTGCCACTTTTTATTATATATATTTTTCTGGGGGGGGTGATGTCAGGCACGGTTGCTTGGAAATTCACTTCTGGCCAGTTCTGGGTTTGTCACTCTCGGTGAGCAAGCGCAGTCAATTTTAGTTTACCTGAGGCAACCACCCTTTGAACAAGGGCCATCCGCTTGGACTTGGCACGCTTTTGCTTTTTTCTTGGCGAGCTCACATGGAGCCAAAATGAGCATTTCCACCCATCTTCCTTCACTTTGGGTTCCAATACTTTCAATTATTGGATTTATCGTAACCCTAGGATCCCTTGGTACCTTTGGAGGATATACATGAAGAGATTTTCGCTCCCTAAGTACATCCTAAGAAGGTACAAGGGACCCTCTGGGTAAAAGCATATTTTGTGCTACCCTTTGGGCATCTCTCGTTTTGGGGTGTCAGGGGTTGACTCGATGACTCGACTGTGTCGGTCCAACAGTTGCCCAATCAATGCATCCCTGGACATCCGCTAAAGGTGTTTTTCTTCAAGGAATCCCCGCAATATGGGTATATCCAAACAGGGCGGCCCCCAAAATGATGGGGGTCTCTATGGTTTCCCTTCAAACCAGCCTTAGAAGGGCAACCTTCCAAACACTCAAGCCCGCATCTAAGGGGTTTGTCGTTCGGCTCCAGATGCCAGAAACCCATTGCCGGACGGTGCAGGTTGACTTATTGAACAGAGCGAATGCACCCCAGGGCCGGGTCTAACCCATGGCCCTTTCAGAGAAGCCACACCTTGGCAGAATGCTCGAATGCTGCAAGTAGATATCGACTGACTTTGGCTTAAAGGACTGCAGGAGTCTCTGATTCCGATTGGTTGATTCCCCACAGTCTTCATCCACATGTTTTCAAAGTATATACACTTTCTGACGAGAAGGACCCTCTCTTCATTTCCAACCCCCTTCCCCATCTTGCCATTACTTCCAAAAGAAAAAACAAGAGAAGGAAGCATACACCCAGCAGCCCAGTGGCACCGCTTTCTTCTTCCGAGGGGCTCCCTTCAAAAGTCACCCCGATTGCTTCCATGGAGCTCCTCCGATTTTTTCAGAACCACCCCCGTCGCTTTCCATCGAACAAATCCGTCTCCCGAAACCCATGGGCTCAGTGTGACTTGTCCCAATGGATCCCGTTTCAGCAGCTCCGTGAAGACTGGTGCATCAAACACAGCCACGTCCTCAAACCGATTCGGGTAGATGAAGGTTAGGGACGGTCCCAGCCAGAAATAGCCGCGGAATTCCGGCTTAGATAATTCTTGAAGCATGGTTCTGGGTGGAGCATTTTAATACCTGGTTTTCATTGTGACTCGCTTCTCTTTGGGTTTAGTTCCAAACCACTGCTTTCAAGCATTCTGTTTGGGACCTTATTTTGTGGATGCCCCCCTGTCCATCCTTTTCGGAAAAATGATCTTCCAGGATCCCCCGTGAGGTTCCATGTTTGAGGTTCCAGGATCCGCGACTGGACTCGACGAGCGATGGGACTGGGAGCTGAGGAGTCGGAGGCGGCCTGGTGTAGCGCCCAGGGCTGTGAGGCGGTGATCAAGCACGCGGAGCGCACGGACCTGCTGGCCCGGACACCCAAAGCTTGCCGGGGAAGCCGAGGGTGCACGAGGGCGACCGGAGTTGGTTGGGGTGTTAGATGGGTGGTTTGGCTTTGGGTTTGAAGTTATGGTTCTTGTAGGAAATGGGAAACATCAGCTCCTAACCTCCAAACAACCAATTCAAGGGGTGCTGAGCACGGATGTTTCTGCTATGGGTTTCAAGCGAGTCCGCCGATCCGGGACCAGACTTGTTTGCGACTACATTTTGCCAACCCAGCTACATCTTGGGGGTCTACCCGCGTCAATCTGTGGTCCTTTTCCCCATTCCTTGGTCACCCTTTGGATTCCCTTCCTCACGGCAGCCACTAGTTTTTCACAGGGGGAGCTTACGTATTCCAAAAAGCGTGTCTAAAATGGAACACCCTGCTGGCAGCGAGGCAACCCCCTATACTTAGGTTACTCTTGAAAAAGATAGGGGAGTGTGTTTCTTTTGAGAGGCTTGGAGGGAGGCCAAAATTAAATCACGCATCCCTTTGTACATGTTTCTAGGGCCGACCCTTACTAGGGTGTGTTATAGACAAGATTCAGGAAATTATGGAAATATCTCATCTACTGGGAAGTAAAATGAGATGTTGAAAAAAGACATGCCTGTATGGATTCCCCGTACAATATGGGTGTGTGCTGGTGTGTGTGTGTGTGTGGCGCGCCGATTTTTCCTGTTCAAGGTTAGTTGACATTTAAACGGAAACCAAAAGGACAGGAGAGCCTCCCTAAATTTCAATGGGGACCCTCTCAAAAGGGGCTGGAGACAAATCCCAACCACAATGCTGTCCACCAAGAGGTCCCAAACCAAACTGCATCCCTCCCTAGACCCATCATAAAGGTCATTTGGATGTCACTTGGAAGCGCCAAAAGTGGACTCATTTGTTTCCTTTGGCTCCGGAACTCGAGCCATTTTCCGAAACCCGATGAAGGGTCTTTGGAGGAACTCAGTGGACCCAAGCGGACCAGTGGGGAAGAGTCTGTTGACAGAACGATTCTTGAAGAGAAGGGACAAGAAATCAACCCACAGAAAAGTCAGAAGCCGGTTGGTTGGGTTTCGCCCTTTCCCTTTAGATGGTTCGCCTCATTGCATGTTTTGCACTTTCCCTTTCCTCGGAGTTGGGAATTTAAGTGAGATCGTCACAATGACCTTCCAAAAACTGTACGTGAAAGGGAAATCCCCTTGAATCAACCACTGGTCAACCAAACACCTAAACCGCCTGATCAACCTGATCAACGTTTAACGGACCAACAGCCTGAACCACCAACTTGAATTGGCCCAGGCTTCCAATTGCTTGTGTCCTATTTTCCCCGTTGGTTTTGAAGTTGGAATCTATCACTACTGGACATATATATATATATACATACATACATATATGTATATATGTATATATATATATAATATGCATAATGTGTATGTATATGTATGTATATATATATACATATATATATATATATATTCCAGGGAACTTTAGCAGCTGGACCCAGATCCATCCCTAGAATTCCCCAACCGAGCTACTCCGCCCTCCATTCACCATTCGCCCGCCTGAGGCCGGCAAGCTGGTGGCGGTGCTGGGGGCAGTTTGGGAGCCCGCCATCACTCCGCAGGTGGAGAGCGTGAGGTGCCCGAGCCGGCGGGGAGCGAGTTTTGGGGCAGAAGTCAGGTCAGGGGGCATAGGTGTCCTTTTCATCGGTTAGTTTGATCAACAAGTAGATGGGTTCCACGGGTTTAGGTGGGGTGTCTTCCATTTGCCAGGGCCATCTATTTTTCCAAAAGGCCACCTATGTCAGGGGGGTTGCTGGGAATGGTGGACACCTTTTTGGATGGTTGAAACGGAAACTGAAAGGAACCATGCCGTTTTTTAACGGGTCCGCAAAATTGAGAAACACCCACATGGCTGTGTGTTTGGGGCAAAGGGCATATGGGCAGTTCCTTTTTGGACCGTTTTGGGGCCGCCCAAGGTGCCGCTATTTTGGGGGGATATCGAAAAGAACCCCGAATATTGGCAAGCCCTCAGGCGACCCGTTGGTGGCTTGGATTGGTGGATCGGAAGTGGAGCCGCTTGGAGAGGTGATGCCGGCGATGCGGACGAATGATGCTGGCAATGTGCCTTTGAGCGCGGGGAGGGGACAGGTGATGCTGGCGATGTGCGCAACTGATGCTGCCGATGTGGAGCTTTTTTGAGAACAGCGCAGTTTTTAGAAGATTGGGCTGTTTTGCAAGGCCAACATAACAGCAATTTTAACAGATTACAAGCCAAGCGCCAGCCCCCAAAAACACAAGCGTAGGGTGGAACCGAAGCTGCGAACTGGTACCTTCCGTGACAACCGCGACAAACTCTAAAAACACAGATGCAAGCCTCCCAAAGCCTCATAAACCATGCCAAGGTTGGCCAAAAAGCGGCCTGGTGCCGCGAGAAGCAATACGTACTCAAGCACACGATCTAAACTCAACAACTCCAATCAAATATGTTGTTTTGTTCTTTTAAAATCAGCGGGGTGGTAGGGCCTCCAGGACTATCTAGTCCTATAGTTCTTATGCTATGCTTCTCGGATCACTGTGCTCCAGCGATCTAATCGCCTCCCCCCTTGGGCCTCGGCGGATTTATTCGTGGTTTGGAGGGGTGTGGCGGCGCGAAGCCCTGGCAGGGATGAGGGAGGGATGGGAAGCCGCACCTCCTGAAATCCAAGCCAAGCCACCGATTTGAGGGAAGCTGAAGCATCTATTGTTGCTCACGGGTTTAGACGTTTAAGCCACTACAGACCTTGGGTCTTCCCTTGAAAGGGGCCAAGGTCTGATTGATTCAGCTCATTTTGCCCCGCGATGGGGATCACTGGGGATCATAGCTGTGCTTCTTGGTTTAACATCCAAACCTTGGTACCTGGAGCTCCTTCTGTCAGATTCTCTATATTGTAGTATATATATATATATATATGTTGATTTGGAGAGTTTAATGTCATGGTGCGACGGGAGTTTGTCCATAGAGTACTCTCCTATGGTCACATCCGGTGTTTTTGGGGGTTGGTCCTGAAGAAGGATTTCCAAAAGCATTGCTAGCGGTTTAGGGGAACCTGTCTTTGTTGTTTTTGTTTGTGTTAGTGATCCATATCAATTTGCAGGAGAGCAATGAACCTTTTTTTCCCAGAGTGTCATCCTACCTCCGCTTGGAGTTTCCTTCTTGTTTTCTTGCCTGTTCAGCTTCCAAACTTTAAGTGTTCCTTTCTTCGTCATGGGTTCAGTGGAGGCCCAAAAAGTTTAAGCCTTCTCTGGCCAGCCATCGGTACGGTTTTGTTGATGCACACATCTCTCTACCAAATGACGGCGCAACGGTACACCATTGGACTCGCTTTTGGTCGTGTCTAAGACTCCAGACCCTTTGCCCCTTATATTTGTAGCGCTAAAGAGCTGAGACTACATGAGGTTCGTCAACAATAGATGAGTCTATGTTTCATTTTGAAGGACATGGCCTCACTCAAGTTATCAAAGACGTGATGGGACAACCTTACATTTTCTGGGGTAGACTTGGGATACATTTTACATTTTACCAGTGACTCAAAGTGAAGCAAGCAAGAAAATACACATTCTATACCTGGGCCTAACACTAAACATGGTTTGTTCTTGGTCGGGTTGGCCTTGCAGTTGGGCCACAACTCGTTTGTTTTGCATTTTTCCGCGCCTGAAAAGGCAAAGGGAGAATCCAGAAGCACCAAAACAGCCGAGCAGCTCCGACTTGTTTGTAGACGAGTTTCTGCCAGGCGCTGCATTAAAAAATGAGCACAGACTTCATT